CAAATATCATCACCTGCTTCTTTGATTCCTTAATTTTGCTGGTTCTGAGCCCCCTCCTGACCTTTTCTCCCTCTCCCAGCTGACATCATGGATCCATATGTCCCTCCCGAGGGCGATGCCCGCCTGTCCACCCTGTCCAAGGAGGGGCTGAAGCAGAAGATGGATAAGCTGAAGCAGACAGCGGCCTCCCAGCTGGCGTGAGTGCCTCCTCAGTCATTAATGAGCTTAATTCTGTGCTGCAGGAGCTTTGCTGGGTCTGTGTTGTGGCAGAACTGGTGTCTTCTGTCTGTCTCTGTGAGATACTGGGGGGTTGAGAGGCTGCCATCACCCAAAACACCTGGGACAGCTCCAACCTGTTCCTTCCTTCCTTTTCCTGTCTTTTCAGCCTGAGGAAGATCAAAGATCACGACCCGGATTTCAGCACTAAAACCTTCCCAGAGAAGGCTCAGGAGATATTTATCGAGGCTCACAATTCCCTGGCAAAGTAAGACCCTTCCCTGGCTGGTGTGGGGTTTGTAGGACCTGCCTCTCTTTGCTGACATGCTCTGCTTTTCATGGAATCGTGGAAAGGTGGAATGGTTTGGGTTGGGAGGGGCCTTAAAGCTCATCCAGTTCCACCCTCCTAGGATTAGAAAGACAAGGAGGGATTCCCAGGGTGGCTGCCCCATCCCTGTGGGAGCGTCCAAGGCCAGGTTGGAGCAACCTGGTTTAGTGGAAGGTGTCCCTGCCCAAGGCAGGGGTGGAATTGGATAATCTTATAAAGTCCTTTCCAACCCAAACCGTTCCGTGGTTCCATGAAATGACACTCCACTGGCTGGCTCTGCTCTCCAGTGACAGATTTCAAACCTGCCTCGCTCTTGGTTCCAGCTCCAAACATCCCTAAAACATTTGGGTCAGAACTGGCTCCCCTGTTCCTGTGCCCTTTCCCTGGAGCTGTGTCAGCTCAGCTCAACCTTCGTGCCCTCCTTCCATTTCATTTGTCACGGCTGAGAATTTGGCTTTTCCTGTTTTGCCAGGAGCCTGTGTGTCTCCTGGAAAGGCAGGGATTTGTGGGGAAGCCTCTTTGTTGTGCCCAAGTAACGGAGTGTGTTTGCTTTGCAGCTTCAACAAGCAGAAACTTCACTCCCTGGTGACCGAGCGCTGCTACCCCGTGAGTGTCTGCCTGCAAAACAGTGTGGAATCATGGAATATCCTGAGTGGGAAGGGACCCACAAGCATCAAAGTCCAACCCCTGGCCCTGCACAGACACCCCAGCAATCCCACCCTGTCCCAAACACTCCCTGAGCTCTGGCAGCCTTGGGGTTGTGACCAAACCCTGGGGAGCCTGTTCAGTGCCAGCCACCCTCTGGGGGAAGAACCTTTTCCCAAAATCCAGCCTAAACTTCCCCTAACACAGCTCCTGCTGTTCCCTGGGTCTTGTCACTGATCACAGAGAGCAGAGGTCAGTGCCTTGACCTCTTCCATGGCTTTTAAAACTCTCTAAACCTGATCATGTCTCATTTTTCCTGGCTGCAGCAAAGAGCTGGGAGGGAAACCCCTGATGACTAAACACCCTGCTGGATGCAGCACTTTTCTTGTTGTGTTCTCATCCGAGTCGAGCTGCTGCTTGTTTTTACCCCTTGCAGGACATGGTCCGTGGGAACAGGTACAAGACCATCAGGTGGAGGTTTGTGGAGTCCCTGGAGCCCCCCAGGGTGGTCCATGTCCGCTGTGACAGCCTCGTGAACAGGGGCAACCTCTATGGGCAGGTGACAGTGAGGATGCACACCCGGCAGGTACAGCCCTGAGCCCCTGCTCTCCTTGGAATCAGGGAATGGGTCGGGCTGGGAGGACCTTGGGGATCGTCCAGTTCCACCCAGGAACACCTTCCACCAGCCCAGGTTGCTCCAGCCTGGCCTTGGACACTTCCAGGGTTGGGGCAGCCACAGCTTCTCTGGGAAAGCCATCCCAGCCCCTCCCCACCCTCACGGGGAAGAATTCCTCCCCAATATCCAATATAAATCTCCCTTTTTTAGTTTAGAGCCATTGCCCCTTGTCCTGTCACTCCAGGCCCTTGGGAATAGTCTCTCTCCATCGTTCCTGTCGCTCCCTTCAGGTCCTGGAAGGCCACAGTGAGGTCACTGCAAAGCCTTCTCTTCTCCAGGCTCAGCAATCCCAATTCCCTCGGCCTTTCCATGCAGGAAAGGTGCCCCATCCCTCTGATCACTTGATCACAGAGAATCCCACGCTGGTTTGGGTTGGAAGGGACCTCAAAGCCCATCCAGTACCACCTTCCACTGGCCCAGGTCACTCCAAGCCCCTCCCAACCTGGTTTTTTGGCCTGTTTTTACAGATTTTGGCCATCTACGACCGCTTTGGGCGGCTCATGTACGGTGGGGAGGAGGTGCCCAAGGATGTTTTGGAGTATGTGGTGTTTGAGAGGTACCTGGTGAACCCCTATGGCTCGTGGAGGATGCACGGGAAGATCATCCCAGAGTGGGCCCCTCCAAAGGATCCCATTGTCAAGGTAATCCCAGCAGGAAAAGGCACCAGCGTGGCTGGGAAATGCAGGTTCCTGGTTGAACAGGGATGAAGACAAAGCTGAGCTCCCTGTGAGGGGAGGGTGGGGGGTTGATCCACGAGCAGAGCTGTTTGTTGTCGTGGTGTTGTCACCTGGAGCACCTGGAAGCTGGAACAGGAGGCTGAGGGCAGGTGTGGGATCATTTAGGGGGGTTGTTTCTCCCTGGGCCTGACCTGGCAAAGTGCTGCAGGGGCTCTGTCTCCCTGTGTTACTAAAAACAGATCCCAGAGGAAGGAGGTGAGAATTCCAGTGTGGTACAAGGCCTGTCATCCCACCCTATTCCCCCCTTGCGTTTTCCCTGTTTTCCCTCCATCCAATCCCCCCTTTCCACAACCCTCTGCTCCCCTTCCTTCCTCTCTGCAAGGTGAGGAATCCCCAGTGCAGCAGTTCAGAGCTGCTCTGCCTCCTGCTGATCCTGTTCCTTGCTCTTGCAGACGGTGATGATTCCTGGCCCCAGCCTGGATCCCTCACAGGAGTATGAAGAAGTGAAGTAGGAAGTTCTGGAGCCTGCACAGGGACAGCAGTGCCAGCAGCCTGGGAGGGAGGCAGGGCTGGGAATGGTTGGATGTGGCTGTGCCTGCCCTGGGAGCAGCCAGCAAACAAAGTGGCTTCAGAAATGGACTCCAGTCACCCCAAATCTGTCCTTAAAGGAGCGAGAGGGGCTCGGGAGAGGGATTTGAATGAGCCCTGAGAAGGGCTTTACTCTGTCCAAGGACTCTGTGTGCTGCAGCTTCACCCCCCCTGTGTTTGTCCTCAGGGCCATTCTCTGTCCTGGACTTCCATTGTGAGAGCCCTTGGCTCTTGGAGAGCCCTTGGAAGTGTGTCCAGACGTGGGATATTTGTCACTTCCATGGGAAGTGTCACAGACCTGCTGGTCACTCATTAAAACTTCCACCAGTAGTTGCTGGCACATTGTTTTCCCATTCCCCCTCCCTTTTCCTACTGATTCCCAACCTCCTTTTTTTTAATTTTTTTTCCAAACAAAAAACCAGGGAAAAGCAGCAAGAACACTTTAAATCCAATTCTGGGGAGGGGGGTGCTGGGACTGGACTCCTGCTGAGTGGGAGTTTCCCCAAGGGGCTGCAGCACAGCACTGATAATTCAATTTAATGTCATTTTTGGCTCCTTGCAGGGTCAACCTTTCCCAGGGTGGGGGTTTGGTGTTGGTGGCAGAGCTCGTGGGTTCTGTGTTGTCAGTGGGGGACTGGCACCATCCTGTGGACACCCTGACATTTTGCATCAGTGCCTGGTTGTGCAGGATGGGTTGGGAAAACACCTCCCCAGAGGTTCCCTTTCTCCAGGGCTGGGAATTAACCTTCTCCCTGGGAATTAACCTTCTCCCTGCTCTGCTCTGCTCAGCCAAGTCCCTCAAGAGCCAAATGCTCACTAGTCACCCAGTAACAAAGCACTTGCTTCTTCAGCCCTGTCTTGCTTTTCACATCAGCCATTTCCAGAGCACTTTTATTTCATCCCTGAGAGTTCAGGGCGTTTTTATTTCTGCTTTGAAAGAGATTTTGCAGAGCTGTTAGAGGAAAAAAAAAAGAAAAAAGGAGTTGTGGCTCCTCGTGCTCGCGGCGTTTTCAGCGGGTTTTTTTTCGTGAATGATGTTCTTTTGGAAGGGCAGAACATCATCTTTCTGCTGCCTTGGGAGAGGAGCCAGCCACGGAATCCCTTTCATGTCTTTTGGAAGCCAGAGGGGTGTCACAATCTGTCTGTTCCTGAAAGGACTTTCTAAATGGAGCCTCTGCCTCCGCCTCGCTCGGGGAGCCGGGGAGGCCCTCGGGGCTCTGGAGTGTGGGAGCTGAGCCAGGGGCAAAAATAACTCCCTGGGAGCTGCTGGTTGTGTGTGCTGGGACAGGTGGGGGGGTGACTCCTCAACCCAGACCTGCTCAGGGGTGAGAGAACTGGGATTGTTCAGCCTGGAAAAGGGGAAACTTCGGGGTGAGCTGATTGTGACCTGAAGGAGCTCCAGGAGAGATGGGGAGAGAGTGTTCCCAAGTGCCAGGGCAAGGGGGATGGCTTCACACCCACAGGCAGGGTTAGGTGGGGGATTGGGAAGCAATTCTTCCCTGGGAGGGTGGGCAGGGACTGGGATGGCTTTCCCAGAGAAGCTGGGGCTGCCCCTGGATCCCTGGAAGTGTCCAAGGCCAGGTTGGAGCAACCTGGGCCAGCGGGAAGTGTCCCTGCCCATGGCAGGGAGTGGAAGGAGATGGTGTTAAAGATCCCCTCCAAACTGTTCTGGGACTCTGTGAGGTTCTCCAGCTCTGGCTCTGAATGAAAAGGGTTGTTTTTTTGTGGAATGTCTGCCTTTTGGGGGAGAATGGCCTTCCCATGGCCTTTCCTTCCAGCTGAGCAGCCCGTGGCTCCCCATCTCTCCTCTCCAGCCTCTGCAGCTCAAGCACCTCATTCCTGGGTTCCCTCCACAGCCCCTTCCTGAGGGATCTCTCAGCTCTTCCCCACCCCCACAAATGAGCCTCTCAGCCCACACTCTGTAACAACACCCTTTATTTGCTGTATTTACACGTCCTGACGTTGGTGTTGGACCAGCAAAGACCTCGGGCCAAGCATGGGGGCTCTGCAGGTGGGAGCAGCCTCCAGCCCCAGCCTTTCCCTCCCCAAAAACCACATCTGCACTGGGATTTAGGGATGGGGCTACTGGTGATCCCACGGGCACACCTCGGGCTGGGTTTCCCTCTCACCCCCCTCCCCATCCCGGGGGGTCCCCCTGGCTCTGCCCTGGCCGTGGTGGGTCGGGGTGGGATCCACACTCTCCTCCTCCCAGGGACACACCTCCGAGCTTTTCCTTGTGTCTGTGCTGGGCTTGGCAGGTGTTGATGGAGCCTCTTCTGCTTCCCAGGGACAAACCTCAGCCAGGCCAGTGCCAGGGCTGGGGCTGCTGCCCGTCCCTGGGGGCTGGATGCCGGGCAGGAGCCGGCACAGGGGCTTGTGCTTGGCCTCCCCATCAGAGCTGCCCTTGGATTTTTCCAGCAGGGCAGTTGGAGACCCAGCACTGGCTCCTGCCACCGGCTTTGGCTTTCCCATCCCAGGCTGGGATGTTCTGTCAGCTCCCCGTGGGTGCACACCTGCTTTGGAGCTTTCCTTCTCCCACCCCGTGGGCTCTGCTGCTTCCCAGGGGCAGATTTCGGATTTCCTGCTCTCCGTGCTGTCGGATTTCTTGGATGGCTCCTTCTCCATTGCAGTTTTCAGGGAGAGATCCTCCGTGTCCATGCTCTCCCAGGGACAGACGGACTCACGGTCTCTGCTCCCCTTCTCCACAGGTTTGGAGGACTTTGGTGGGACTCTGTCCTTCCCTGGGGCTGCTCCTTTGTCCAGCTGAGCTTCAGCCCCCTCCCAGGGACAGATTTCTGCTCTGTCACTGGATTTGGGCTCCTGACCCTCCCAAGGGCAGATCTCTGCCTTCAGGCTCTCTGTGCTCTGGGATTTCTTGGAAGGTTCTGTGCTCCCTGCACGGGCTTTGCCCAGGGGCTGCTCCATGCTCTCCCAGGGACAGATTTCAGCTTTGTCACTGGATTTGACCTCCTGACCCTCCCAAGGACAGATCTCTGCCTTCAGGCTCTCCACGCTCTGGGATTTCCCCGAAGCTGACTTGGGCAGCCCCGTGCCCATGACATGGGATGTTCCTGAGGGTTCCTGTGTGCCCAGGCTCTCCCAGGGACACACAGCCTCCCTGTCCCTGCTGCCCTTCCCTGGGGATCTCTCCGGGCTGGCCAGCGCTGCCTGGCGCGTGATGCGCTTGTCCCCCCTGGAGCCCCCCTGGGAACCCTGCTTTGCCTTTGGCTGCTGGGAGGGAGGTTCAACCCCTTCCCAGGGACAGATTTCAGCTTTGTCACTGGATTTGGGCTCCTGATCCTCCCAAGGACAGATCTCTGCCTTCAGGCTCTCCGTGCTCTGGGATTTCTTGGAAGGTTCTGTGCTCCCTGCACGGGCTTTGCCCAGGGGCTGCTCCGTGCTCTCCCAGGGACAGATTTCAGCTTTGTCACTGGATTTGGGCTCCTGATCCTCCCAGGGACAGATCTCTACTGATTTCTTTGATGGCTCTCTGCTCCCAGTGTGGGGTTTGGCCTGTGGCTGCTCCATGTCCAGGCTCTCCCAGGGACAGACGGACTCACGGTCTCTCTTTGCTTTCTCCTCCTTTCCAGATGCACCAACTCCAGTTTCTTTCAGGAGACCTTGACTTGCAGAAGGGCTTTTGCTCACAGTGGATGGTCTGAGTTTCTCTTTACCTGATGGAGGTTCAGCCCCTTCCCAGGGACAGACGTTGGCTTTGTCACTGGATTTGGGCTCCTGAGCCTCCCAAGGACAGATCTCTGCCTTCAGGCTCTCTGTGCTCTGGGATTTCCCCGAAGGTGATTTGGGCAGAGCTGTGCTCCTGGCAGGGGGTTGTTCCGGGGGCTTCTCGGTGCCCAGGCTCTCCCAGGGACAGATCTCCTCCTTTATGCTCTCCATACTCTGGGATTTCTTGGACTCAGCTTTTTCCAGGCTTTTCCTGACGAGCTCTGCAAACATCCCGGTGTCCCCGCGCTGTTCCCGGCGGCCGCCCGGCCTTGCTTTAGTATCTCCCACTCCTCTGGATCCTGGCTTGCCTTCCCTTTTGGAGGTGTCCTGCCTCAATCCCTCCTTCCCTGCTGGAGCTGCAACCTCTTCCCAGGGGCAGATTTCTGTTCTAGGACGTGGCTCATCCTCCACTTCCCATGGACAGATGGTGGCCTTTTTGCTGTCCACGGATCCAGCTTGCTGGGATGAAGGTTTGGGCACACTCCCAGCTTTCCCCGCTGCATCCCAGGCTCTGGCAGTGCCCCGGCT